AACAAGTGATACCTATTTTCTTCAGAATTCTTTTCTCTTCCATTCAAAATAAAATAGGATACTTTTTCTAGCTGATCTTCACAACAGGCAGCAGAGAGGAAGATCTTGCCCTTTCTTCCACTGGTGCCTAGACAGGTTTTTTTTTTTAAAAAAAAAAAGATCAACCAAAACCTTGGCAGTTCTTTTTCCAATGTGTTCAGGAATATATAGAAGAAAGAATGGGCAACTCCAGCCAGAATCAAACAGTGTTATAGACTGAAATACAGGAATTCTCTTCCCACTAATATAATGGAACAATTAAATGTTCCTTTGGTTGATGCACCTGCTGCAACCCTCACAACCTTCATAGACAGCAAGAGAACAAGAATGGTCCTTCATAGGTAATTCAAAGCTTCGTTGCCTGCTTTTCACACAGCAGCTACAAATTCTTCATTAGAGCAACCTCTGTGTGAGCAGATGAAATGGCAGGCATAGATAATATCCCTAAACTGACAAAGGATGTACAAGAACATTTCCTGAACAGCTGCTCTTCTGGCAGATTCTTTGCTTCTGAGCCATGCTGTTATGGCAACAAACTTGGAAGCTAGGAGAAATATCTAACATACAGTTAGCATGAGGATACAGATACACAAACTTGTTTTGAATCAGTTCCTTTTGTGGGAATAAGGTTTTTTGGGAAATATCTTCATGTTGTCTTGGTTGAAGCATATAACAAAACTATTCTTCTTCTAAGAGCAAACAAAAATAGAAGGTTTTGCAGTCCTTTCAGTCCAACTGACGTACTCTGAAACATTTCAAGGAAATTTCAGATCCAAATGATCTGGAACATCAAGAATCTCAAACAAGACCCATTCACTTTAATGAATGTTGTTCAGTTTTCCAGAATTCAGAAACAAAACAAATATGCCTCTTTAATTTGATGCCAAAGCCACTGAAGGTGAGTGGAATTTGTGGGAGTCAACAGCCAAAGGCTATGCTTAGAATTTGCTTGGATGCCAAAAAAATTTTTTGTGGCATCATGTTGTTCAAGACAGATGTAAGTTTTCTGGAGCTTAATGCAATTTTTTTTGGAATTGAAAAATTGAAGGTAAAGCATATACTGATAAAAAATAGTGTTTCTGTACAAGCTTAGCTGAGTAAGCAAGAAAGGACATACTCCAGGATTCTCAACAGGCTGGAGCAAACTTGCAGTTAATAAAGGTGGAACGTCTATAGAAGTCTTTAGTAATGTAGTTGCTTGGCTCAGCAAGGCCTGTATCAAGTTGTTGGAATGGCATCTCAATATGCCAGTTCTTCATCTGCTAATGTTTCAGTTTGGCTTTCTGAATGTAGACTCATTTGTAATGAGTCTGGTTTGTAATACTTAGGTTCAACATGTTTTCTCAAAGTTTTTTGTGTTCAGACACAAGTGATGTCAATCTGTTTCCCAGTATACAAAAGGGTTCCTTTTGTCTTTATGTCTATATTCTTCCATAGACATATAAGCCCAATAAGCCAAAACATAGGCCACCTAAATGACAATGATGACTATGGAAGTCATTCCTAAACTATGTAGTTCCTTCTATGAAGAGTACAAGCCCATTTAGAGTATGCAAACTCTCCAGTTCTATCACCTGGAGATCTCCTACCCACAAGGTATCCATTTTAATATGATCCAATTAATAACTGCATCCAAGTATCAGTTTAGGATATGTACTATCTCTTGATTCAAATGTTATGGTAGAGAATAGGGTGTCATAACCATATTAGCTCTAATGGCCTTATACAGGTGAAACTCGAAAAATTAGAACATCGTGCAAATGTTCATTTATGTCAGTATGGCAATTCAAAAGGTGAAACCAATATATGAGATAGATGCATTACATGCAAAGCGAGATATG